GAATTATTTGTTCTTTCTACACCTATTATATAATATATGTATATATAATTATATACATATACACATAATGTATAGAGAGAGCAATAATGTGGCTAAAGTTGGTCCTGAATTGGTTGGTCCTGAGTTGGTCAGTCCCTATCGGACTATTTTACAGCTTGCTTTATGAATCTGTGATTATTTGCATAGATAATTGAAGTTAAGTACCATGATCCAGTGACATTGTAGTGGTTTGAATGAAAATGTTCCCTATAGGCTCCAAGTATTTGAAGAGTTTGTCCCCAGTTGGTGCTACTGTTTTGGGAGGTCTTAGAAGGTGTGGCCCTCTAGATAAATCACTGGGGGCAGGCTTACAGAGTTATAAAGCCTTGCTGGATCTCCACTTGCTCTCTGCTTCCTGTGCCTGCTTGAAGATATGAGAGCTTATCTTCTGCTCCTACTCTAGCCACCTCTGCTGGGATGCCTCCCTGCCACAATGGACTCTTGCCTCTTTGGAACCAAAGCTAAATAAACTCTTCCTTTTATAAGTCGATTACGGTGTTTTAGCACAACAAGAGAAAAGTAACTAAGACAAACATGTAGTTTAAGATCATCTCATCAGAGTGTCAAAGCCAGGAGAGTGCAGCTGTCTGAGGCCTATTGTTTGTTATTAGCAGTTCTTATAAATGTCCATACCTGCCAGTCAGAAGTTCGTACATTAGAATTCCTAGTGACCAGTAGTCAGCTGAAATGTCATGGCCTTTGTTTAGAATGATTTCTGGGGCTACATATTCTGGAGTCCCACAAAAAGTCCATGTTTTCTTTCCAAATCCTATTTTCTTTGCGAACCCAAAATCAACCTTATGGAGAGGAAAAAAAAAAGCAAGATACTTAGGTATTTATGATTGGTTGCAGAGCAATAAATATTTTGCTGACTAGTGATGATGCTAATAAAAATAAAAAAAACAGATGCAAGTCATCACGGTCCTGTCTTCTGAAAAGAATTATATATATTGTAAACACAGTCACCCTGTTCAAATTTAGTCTCAGTGGGAAAAGTTGAAACCTGAGAATTGGATAAAATTTAAATAGGAAAAGCTCTTTGGAAATACTTTCTCATTTTCCTACTTTTATGCCAATTACATTTTGTGGCATAAAGACAGAATTTCTTTATTCAAGAGTTAAAAGCCCAGGTAGATCGACTTAACATCCTCCCAGAATATACAAGCTTTCTTTTTGACTCATGAAGCTAACCAGTTCTCTAGCATTAATTTATGAGAAGCTAGTTTACTGTTGAAGGAGGTAACACATGTATGAGAGCAGCCGCTCTGTTCGTGAGAAACATAAACTGAGGAAATGAAAAATCTTCTTTCGTAGGAACTTTCTGAAGGAGGCGCTGCAAATGCAGAAAACTTCCCCCTTTGGTAAAGCAATGTGGTTTAGATACAAACAGTTACTTGCTGTGCTGGATAGCTTTAGTTGTCAGCTTGACACAGCTGGGTACAGGGATCCTCATTTGGGGAACTGTCTCCATTGGACTGGACTGTGACCATGTCTGTGGGGCACTTTCTTGATTGTTGAGTGATGTGGGTGGGCCCAGGCCAATGTGCGTAGAGACAACCCTAGGCAGGTGGTCCTGTATTGTATAGGAAAGCAGGCTGAGCACAGGCCAGGGGAGCAAGCCAGTAAGCAACGTTCCTTCATGGCCTGTACTCCAGCTCCTGCCTCCAGATTCCTGCCCTGAGTTCCTACCTTGGGCTCCCTCAGTGATGAATTGTGACCTGGGAGATGTAAGCCAAATAAACCCTTTCCTCTCCAAGTTGGTATTAGTCAGAGAGTTTTGTCACAGCAACTGAAGGCAAACTAGAACACTTGCCATTGAGTTGATTTCTCTTAGATCCATGTCTGGTTAAAAATTCTAAATGTTTAAAATCAGGATCAGGCAGTGACAGACCCAAAGCTCAGAGCAGTTGTATATATTTAAATGAATGAACTTTTCTTATACTGTAGGTCTTTAGAATTTAGGAGTGATTATTAATATTATTGTCATTAACATAGCCTAGATGATATTACCTCAAAACTCATTTTCCCATGAGCATTATTCTTAAATATAAATTTTAAATGCTCACACTTTTGTATAATGTTAATATCCATTGCACTGGGTAGCAGAAGGCTGACTAAAGAGCAAAGTATCTTCTGTAAGCTCTTTCAGGCCCATGAATACATGCCAACAGGACATTTTCTAGCACTTGTTAGAAACCATGCTTTGTAAGGGTATTATTAATTCAAACCTAGCCAATTTGATTTCTCATAACACTATGCAATTTGAAAAAAAATGGAGAACTATACTGCTAAAACTTACTTTTATGAGAAGTTATAACACTGAAATGGAAATCAGATTTTACTGTTAACAAATGAACACAAGTTCCTTAAAACTTCAGGACAGTGAAACACACTGACCAGTTTAGCGTAACCTCGGTGATCTAAGATGAGATTTTCTGGCTTGAGGTCCCTGTAAATGATTCCTTTGGAATGCAGATAGGCGAAAGCTTCTACCACACATGCTGTATAAAACCTGGTTGTAGAATCTTCAAATGAACCTCTGAAAACAGAAAATGGAATGAAGAATGTATAAGAAATTAATTCTGTAGAAAGGTGGATTAGTATGTGTGATTTCAGAATATTCCTGTACCAAGTTGGGTTGAGAGACCGATATCTGACTGACTCAGGATTACATGATTGCCATTCCATTGGGTTTCCTAAAATATTTGAGGACCAAGTCAAAGAATTCATTGCCCCGATGAGTGGGACAGTTAAGTCTAACTTTCTGGAGGGGCTCGAGGAGAGTTCAGTATCAGACCGAGGTTCATGTACTTTGTAGCTTCCTCTCAACAGCCCACTGTTATATAAAAAAGGCACAGAGTTGAGTCACAGCAATGGGCAGGAGAGAGAATGAGTCCTATGTTGGAGCTTGTTTATCATCAGTTTGCTTTTCAAAAGAGAGGTTCCCTTAATTTAATAAATAAATAAATAAATAAATAAATTTGCAAATTCTCTGTTCCCTGGGATTGAATCCAAGACCTCACACAAGCTAAGCAAATCATACCACTTAGCTACATCCTTAGCCCAAAGGAGAAGTTATATTAAGCAGGTTATTTACCTTTGATAACAAGGATATGTGCATACATGCATAATTAACATAACATACAGCATAAAATATATGGATTTATTCATATTTACTTTTAGAAAGTTTGTGATTTTAAAAAATGTAGGTATGGTTCATGAGAATACAAACAAGAGAGGCTAATATTTCAGAGTATAACTATAACACTATGGATGCCATAATCTCACCAGCCACATATTTGGTTGCTGAAACTTTCGCCCCTGAGACAAACAGTAGCTATCTTCTACACTACTGCCTTTGCATTGGCTGGACAAGCTGGAACTAAAATATGACCAGAAGAGAAAAGTCACGGGAGGGAAATGCCAACTTATGATAGTTAACAAGGAACTTTTCTCTCTACCTTATTTATGTCTTTGTCTCTATCGCTATGCATATGTGTTATAGACATGAACAAATATGTTGGTTGATTGAAATAACAACAAAGGAGAAACCCCTGTTCATTCCTTGGTCCAGAGCAGAACCTTTACTTTTGTTCTGTTTGTTCTTTGAACTTAAGATGATAAGCTGTGTTCTTTTCTTCTTTCTCAAGTACCAAGTTCAATTTAATAACATTTGAATTCACAATGATTAGCATGAATATTGTAAGGTCTTGAAGTGGCTGAGATATACATGGAGCCCCAAGTATGCCAGAAGCTTCAGGTCATGTACAGTAAATAGCAACTGAGGAGAGGGATCATCTGGGCATCCCCCAGGCCTGCTTGTATTTTGGTGATATTTACTTCTTTTCAAAACTGGTGAGTAAAGTCTAACAAACTTAGCCATGGAATATGGCTATATCTTTACCAAATTCATCTCTAAATTCAAAGTTAAAGTGGACATCTTGCAGGCTTTTTCTATTTAGAAACAGTGTGCTTCAGATGTACAGTCTTCATTTAACTTACATATCCCTTGAAATAAGCAGCTGGTCTTCACAGTTCTAAGCTAGGCGTGATATCATATAACTTCAATCCCAGCACTAGGGAGGCTAAGAAAAAAGGATCTTGAGTTTGAGGCTAGCTTGGACTTTAGAGAGACCCTGTCTCAAATATAAATAATAAAAAGGAGTAAAATTCAAAATGAAGTATAGTGCTAGGCATGATAACATCTACTCCTCTAGATACTAGAATTTTAGCTAACATTATTAAGATTCTAATATTTTTTTCACTGATATCTGCATAGAATAATTGTGAATTTATAAGGGCAAATGGAAAGTTCTTTGGAAAGAACTGCAACCACAGCAGGAAATGAGCAGTGTGATTTAAATTCTGCTTGCACTCTGACTGATAGCTATCTTTGGGAGAGCTAAAACTCTGCAATCCTGGGGGCTGGAAAGGGATTAGAATATTGCTGTGAATCCCTTTTCTTCTTCACTCTTAATTAAGTTTAGCATGCTTGCCCATCAAGAATAGACCATTTCTTTTAAGAGGAATGATTTGCTTTAAACAATAGGTATCTATGTATATAGGTGGTATGTGCCGTCTATGACTTACCCCCAGTCCCCATCCAAAGTAAGGCAAATACAAACAGTGTGTATGCAATGGGGTTTTCCCATTACATGACTTGTTTGAAATCAAAGATGGACTGTTTCCTTTCATCAGAGCTACCTATACCGATTCTGAGCTATTTTGGAATTTGGAAGGTGTTGGAATGTTGGCTTCTAATTCTTTCAAAGATCTATATTGAGTATCTCCCACATATAACTATATTTGTAACTGGCTTTGAAGATTTAAGAAAGCCTTGCCTCAGACTTGAGAAATAAACACAATATATACACAGACTGTTCATCTGCATCACTAAACATTCAGTCACGGCCACTCTAAAATATAGATCTTGGAAGCATTCCCAAAGCAGAGTGTGAGAGTGACTCAAAATGAAAAATAACAGTCAGAACCGATAATGGCAATGCAAATTTGATCTAAACAGAAGTGGAAGCTTATTTTATTAATGACTTAGAGAGTTGCTTAAAGAAATAAACCACTTGTCCTTGTACCTTTTTGAGATAATAAATTGTGCCTTGAGAGCTATCATTTAAAGACAAACAAGCGCAGGATAGGCTTTTATGCTTTCTTTAGGAATGAACTTTTTCTTTTTTACCTAAATGGTCCTAGATGACAAGTTGATAGAAGTAGAGGGTTAGATATATTGTTTTTTGATGAACTAAAATCAATTGTAATGTTTACTCAACTTGTCATAAACTGAATCCCAAGATGTCAGAATGTAGCAAAGGCAAAACATCTCTTATCAGAAGAGGCCAGGGAGAGTGGCAGCAATCATTACTGAGTTCATAAATCTGAAGGACATTATAATCTGCAGACTTATGGCCCATTGTAAAATGGGGAGGCTAGGTTACCAGGAAGATGGACTCATTTTGCATGAAATACTTTCAGTCTGTGCTGTCTATTAGGTCTTCAAAGATAAAATTAAATAATCACCTTTCCAAAAGTAGCCAGCATCTATCCAGGAAGATTTGTGATTAGAAATTGAGGTGTGTGAAATGTGAAAAATCATGATTTCTGAGAAACTATTAAGTTATTTCGCAGAAAGAAATTAACATACACAAAAATCTAGTCATGGAGATGCTAAATTTCATTAGATCAAAACACGCATTAAATACCATATTCACATATCTGTGCAATGCTGATGTGTTATATATTATTCCAATTGATAATATAACTACTAATACATATTTATTAGTTAATCACGGTTTTAAAAAAACTTTCAGGATTTACCAATTCTTTAGGTATTGGAGAGAGAAAGTGAATAAAATATAATTTGTACCAGTGTATTCCAAAGAATGAAATATAACTTGTGGAAGAAAAAGAAGTCACGAACTAAAAGATAAATCATAACAGCTACTAAAGAATACACCTGAAAAATGTGAGGAATAATTACTACTTTAGTACCTAATTCACTTCTAAGTATAAGGAATATTTAATAGTCCTCAGAACTTGCCTGTATATAGTGTTAATTTAAATTTAACTTTTGTATGTGTGTTTGTATGAGTGTTTATGTGTATGAGTGTAGTATATGTGTGTGTGGTATATGTGCAATTATGTGCGTGGATGCATACACTTAGGCATGTGCAGAAGCCAGAGGAGGATGTTGGTATCTTGCTCTATCATTGTCGACCTTGAGATAGGGTCTCTCATTGAAACTGAAGCTAAGCTGGTGACCAATAAGTCCCAGTGATCCCCCTCTGTCTCTGTCCCTAACCCCAGTCAGTGCTGGGGTTACAGGTATGCATGTCATGCTCTGTTTTGTTGCAAGGGGTCTGGGGATTTGGAGTTAAGTCCTCATGCTTGTGCATCAAGTGCTTTACCCACTGAGCCATCTTCCCAACTCCCCCCCCCCTCTCAGTCTTTTTGAGACAGGGTCTTTCTGTAGCCCCAGCTGACTTGGAATTCGGTATGTAGAGTAGGCTGGCCTCAATCTCACCGAAATTCGCCTGCTCTGCCTCCCCAGTGTTGGATATAAGCCTGTGAAGATCTGCTTTGCGTTCCTTTGCTACACTGATGAAAACAATCCCAAGAGGCAGGAAAGAGAAGGAGGATGCCTAGATTGTTCTCAGAGACTTCCTGTGCTAAACCTTTATGACACATGTCAGTAAAGAGTGACAGCACCCAAGCTTGTCTTCTGATCATCTCACATACATTTTCTGTGAGCTTTCAGGATAGCTTTTCCCTTACCACTGCTTTCTTTGGACACCAGGGGAATATCAAACAAACTTACCAAGATGTTTTCTGTTTGTTTGTTAGTTCATTTTGTTTTCTTATCTTGAGGATTGAAATCAGGGCTCTTTTCTAGCCACACAGGTTCTATACCACCAAGTTACATCCAAAGCTACTTTTTATTTTTAATATTTGAGACAAAATTTCACTCAGTTTGCCTCCAGTGTCTTTGAAACTGGAGTTCTTCTGCCATCAGCCTCTGAAGAAGGTGGGGTTACGGTCATGAGCCACCGTACTTGGCTCTCAGCGTGTTCTTAAGAAAGTAAAATCAAAGCTACATAGAATAAAGTAATATGATTTTATGTGTTTATAGAAGAAAAATTAGTGGGGAAAATGAACCCACTGTATACATATTCATAATAGTTTTACATGTTCCACTGTTTTTATTTTTGTTGCTGTTGTTTTGTTTTGCTTGTTTTTATTTGAGAAAAGGTCTAACTATTTACCCTGGCTGGCCTGGAACTCCCTACGTAGACCAGGATTAAAGAAATGCACTACCTCTCTTGACTTCCATTGTTTTTAATGTCAAGTTTCAGCATTTCTGAACCTTTAGGAGAACTGAACAGCCATTGTTTCTCCACATCTAGCCTACTCATAGAGTATCAGGTTCCCTGGTAGTACATGGCAACTGTGTGCCCAGAACTCAAGAAAGATAAGGGGAAGCAGCCCCTGGAGATGAGACTTCACTCAACTTTTCTACCCATCCACTCCTCCCCAGAGAAGCTGCTTCCTCACAGCAACCCTTTGTTATCCTGCTCAGTCAAGGTGTAGCTCACTCAGAAGTCTGGCCTGATACATGCAACCAACCCAAATGTAAACTCAAACGACACAAGAAAAAATATAGATAATATTTATTTTCAAAAGCAAGTTGAAAATTGATGCCTATGTATGCTTGATGTGTGCAAATCGAGTTCTGTCATTGTTACTATGGTTATTGTTCTAATTAAGGAACGTAAAAATGTTTACAAAGCTCTGAGGGCATAACTGGTTCTTTCTCTGTACAGCTTATTCCTGCTTTCTTATTTAATTCCACCTGCAAACTTTCTGTTCTAATTAACAGAAAATAGAGAAAGGTTTTCAAATAAATTAACAGATCGAAGTGGTAGGTCAAAAATAGTTCAGGATCTAGCCAGATGTGGTGTTACATGCCTTTAATCCCAGCTCTCAGGAGGCGGAGGCAGACAGATCTCTGTGAGATTGAGGTCAGCCTTGTTTACATAGCGAGTTCCAGACTAGCTGAGGCCTCAGGGAGACCCTATCTCAAAAAAACACCCCCCCAAAAATGATATCAAAAATCATAAAACCAAAATAACCCTATAGGAGAACCACATTAAGGATGTCAGATATTAATTCACAATTCAAACTAACTCTGTGTATCAGGCTGAAGGTCTGGTCTGAGTGGGACCACATCTATTCTATTTATCACGATGTGTCCAGAGCTGCTATCACAATCCCTGACATAAAACTATTATTCAATTATTAAATAACAACAATGCAATAATATGATGCGATATAATATCTTAGTACAGATGTTAACATATTCCCCAGTGCTAACATGAAGTTCTTCACTGTGTGCTTTTTACATATAATTAATAATTCAAATGAAACACTAGCATATTAAAATACAACAGAGCAAACAATCTATTTGACATATATAAGTAAGGCTATGGGAATATAAGGCAGGGAAGGGTATACCTTATGAAGGACAGAAGCACTAAAGGAACTTAGTACTGAAGACAAGTCAAAAGTTTATAAAGAGCCACTTGTTCTATTCTGGGCTATCTAAAAAGTAATAAATATTAAAAATTTACAAAGCTCTCTAGGGATGTAAGGGTTATCATAGCTAAGTGTAAAGGAAAAAAAATTATCCAGTGAAGAATTCTGAAGGCAAGGCTGGAACAAGTAAGAAAAATGTATGCTTTTCTAAAGGTAAAAATTCAAAAAGTACAAGGACTATAGACACACTCCTATAATCCCAGCACTCAGGGAGGGAAGGAAAGAGAATCAAGCATTCTAGGGAAAACCTGAAGATGAGATCCTATTGCTGAAGATGCCACACTTCTGACTGAGAACTTGGAAGCCTCATCCCTGAGGACCAGCTCTCATAGTATCAGAAGGCAGTGTGCTGCCAAGGGAGAAAAACAATCAATAGTCCCACCCAGCTGTAAAGCCTATGAACCATAACAACTACTGGCCCAGCAAGATATCCCCAGAGGTGCAATGTGGTACTTTTGTCTTGGGTTAATTGCTCAAGAGGAGAGAAGTCATGCCTAGTACTGTAAATCTAACCAAATACCCAGAGCTGAAGTGGCCATTTTCATAAACCAATAAAATTTCTAACTGTATTCTAAATACTTATACCCACAAATAAGCACAGCTCTTATTTTTCAACAAAGAAGCTTTTCATCAGCATATGTAAAATAGTGTAGAGATCCACAACTGGTCAAAATGCAAAGGTTAAGGAATCATGGGGTGCCCAGTCCCAATTGATAAATCTACAGTACAACTTCTATCCCTAAGGCTCAGAGAACATCATAGAGGAGGGGGCAGAAAGGTTGTATGAGCCAGAGGACAAAGGTGCCTGCTGCTAGGTAGTGTATTTTAGACATGACAGGGAAGCTGCATCCATGAGATCTCAACAATATGGTTGCCTAGGCAGAACCTACATAATGACAACACGTTGACATGGTAATGGGATGGGGGAAATTTCATAGTTCGCACCTCTAGATGAAGAGTTACAGGCAATCAATAGGCAATAATTAAAGAGGAAGAGGTCATGGATTTGAGAGGAAGTGGGGGGGCATGGAAGAATTAGAGGGTGGAAGGGTGGAGAGAGAGGGTAAAAGTGATATAAATATAATACTCATGTATGACATTCTCAAAAAAAATCTTAAAAATTTAAAAAAAGAGTTCAAGTACAGCCTGGGTTATATAGGAGACCCTGTTGCAAAAAAACCAACTTTAGGGATGTGGCTCAGTGGGAGAGTGTTTGTTGAACAGGTACAAGGCTGTAGGTTTGAGTCTCCAAACTGGAGACAAAGTACAGTATGACTTTTGAATAATCATTAGATCATGTATGAGAAATTGTGAAAATATATTTATAGAAAAATAAAGTTGTAATGTTTAAAACAACAAAAATATAAACAATATAGGCAATCATTTACTGAAACATTTTACAGGATAAATTGTTAAAAGGTTATTTTTATAAAATAACATGAAAAATTAAGACAATTTTTTTATAATTCAAAGAAACAAACACACTATCTAGACAAACTAGAAGGATAATAGGGCAAATCAAACCATACTGTTTACACAAAATGTTAGAAATAAGTAGATTATACTTTCCCTAAAGGCAGCAACTTCTAAAAGAGATGATTGGAAACTTGAGTTCATTTTGAAATCAGAGAGCTACGAAAGATAGAGGAAAAGTTAATTTGGAAAAAATGTCAGTGTCATGAAAGACAGAATGACCATCTGAAAACAGAGTGGTGCAATTAAAGTGACAATTAACCCAGACTGTTGTTGTGAAGTAACTATTACTGCCTTCAAGCTAAAGCACTGTGTGCAATGTCAGGTGTAAAGTTGCATCATTCCGACTTTCATGTTAAGCTAAAGCCTGTGTATTGTACATACATTCCTAATGATTATATTTAAGGTGGACTAAACCTATAATCATTAGTTACAGAGTAAGTTGGTTGTGCTTCATATTTACTTTACATTTCAAAGTAAATATAAAGCACCGACTGAAGCAAGAATGAAGCACCGAGTATGTAGATATAAAGTAGACTATGGAAGTATAAACATATGTAAGATATAATTATAATTTTATACTTAATAATAATGGACTCTTCTTATAGACCATCACGGGGCACTCTGTTTTCAGAAGTATGACAGAAATGTCTGAAATCTCCTACCTATCCCTGAGAATGGTCCAGAGCTCTCCACCTAGGCAAGCTTCCATCAACATATACAAATATTTGCTGTCTTTAAATGTCCTGTATAGCCTGTGAATGGTAAACAAGAAAACAAAGTATGAACATTATTATCTTCTAAAAGTATTCATTTTTAAGCATCAATGGTCTATTTTATTTTGTTTTTAATTGGCATGTTTATACATATGTATGAAGTAAAATTGTTTTAATGCATACAAATGTTGTTTAATAGTCAAGCAGAATATTAACCATATGTATCACTTATTCATAGTACAAAGTTACAGTGAGAGGAGGAACACAATCTGGTTTGCACCTACAGAGTTAACAATATTGTGTTGAATATTCCTAAATAGATGCAGAGAATATACAATGTTCTTGACATAAAAGCAAATGCTCAGACTGCAGGGTTTTGATTTTCTGTTCTTGATATTTTATTATAAGAATGAAGGGCACTTAAGTCCACAAGAAGGCAATGGCTCCATGAGTAATACTTCATTGCTATGGGAAACTTGCACCTTCCTTAAGATGGATTAAGCCAAATGCTGCTTGAGGTTCTATTAATTTCAATTTGGCTGATATTTCAAGCATGGACTGGAGCAAGACTGAGGCACTGTATGTAGCTATGCAGATGTATACCCCAGCACTGGGGGGACAGAGACAGGCAAATCCTGGGAGCTCATTGGCTGGCCAGCATAGCCAAATCAACGAATTCCAGGACCAATAGGGGACTCTCCCAAAAACAAAAGTAGAGAGGGGTTGAGAAAGACATCTGCCATCAGTCTCTAGCCTCCAGACACATACACACACACGGAGGTACACACAGCATAACATGCATATTACTGCACACACATAAAAATAAATAAATAAAAATAAGCTTCAGAAAATAAGACTTGTTACTTTGATTTTGACATTGGTTCTGTTGTACCCCAGATGTCTATGTACCCCTGGTGTTTTGGAATGATATGATAAAAACAAGATATTAGAAATTGTGATCTCCTTGGGAAAAACACATCCTTTTTAGAGAATCTGATCCACTTTAAAAATAAGAGCATGGAAT